GCGAGTGTGTTCTTCCTTTCTGGTTTTCTTTTTCTGCTACTGTCGTTTTTATTTTTGTTTATTGTTGTAGTTCAAGAGAGAGTTTACATTTTAAGTTAGTCTCACATACAAAAATTTATACATACATTGTTATGTGACCCTAATTGCTCTCCCTATACTGTGACAGCACACTTCTCTTTTCCACCCCTGATTTCCCATGTCCATTCAACCAGCTCCTGACCCTCTCTGCCTTCTCATTTCACCTCTGGACAGAAGCTGCCCATTTTGTCTCATGTATCAACTTGAGCTAAGAAGAACACTCTTCACAAGTATCATTTTATGTCCCACAGCCCAGTTCAATCTTTGGCAGAACATTTTCTTAATAAATTTTTCTATGCCAATTGACCTAGATGTCCCTTGAAACCATAGTCCCCCGACCTAGCAGTAGTTTTTATTGCTTTCAACTAAAACCCCCAAGGGCTCAGCCACAGACCAAGTCTCCAGGCAGAGGTGGTAATAGCCCTGCCTGTCTGAGGGCCCTGTCTCAGCTTCAGGCCCAGACTCTGCCCAGCAAACTCCTCTAGCTGGCTGGGGGCGGAGAGACTGAGAACACTGTCCCTGGGGCAGAGGTCCCCAGACCAGCCAGCAGTAGCCTTAGCTGCACCTGAAATGTAAATTCTCTCCAGACCCACCGAGCCAGATTACTCTGAGATGGATGGGGCCCAGTGTAACCTGACCCTACGAATGCCAGTAAATTTCCATTAGTCGTTAAACTAGCCAAGCCAGATTTGGCCCACTTCGCTTGTGCAGAAGGGACAGCTGTGACCACTAATTGACTTCAACAGCAAACGCAGCAACAGGTGGAATGAATCAGAAGGAAAATCAGCACCCAGACCCTATTCTGAAGTGAGAGGTCTGACAAGAACCACGTCACCTTCTGTTTCCTGGCCGCCTTCTAGATTTTTCCCTCCCCAGTACGCCTGCGCAGCCATCTTGCTGCACAAATCACATATAAGGCCTGTTTCCCCCGTAGCGTGGAGAGTCGGATTGGAGGAGCTTCCTTCTGGCTTCTTGCTCTGCGCATTGCAATAAAGTTACTTTCTCTTTCTCAAGGACCAGTGTCCAGACAATTGGAAGTCTGAGCGCGCCAGACAAGGACCCACCTTCCTGGGTTTGGTAACATCAGCAATCTGTGTTTTAACAAAACCTCCAAGGTATTCAGATGCCACCTAAAGTTTGTCCTAGAGCTTCAGGGAGGATCTACTTGTAGCAGAAGAAGCAACAGAGAGAAATCAAGAGACCCAGACTCTAGCGCTTTGACTCATTAGCTTGGAATCAAGAGTGCTTTACCTTTCTGAAGCTAGGTTTTTCCAGCTATAATATCGCCACAGAAGTTTGTTGTGAGGATTAAATTTAATAATACTGTTATGGATTGAATTGTGTCCCCCCAAAATTTGTGTTGAAATCCTAACTCCTGTACCTGTAAATATGACCCTGTTTGGAAACAGGGTTTTTCTGTATGTTTTATGTCAATGAGGTCATACTAGTGTAGGGTGAATCCTAAACCTAATCACTTTGGAGTTATAAAAAGACCAGAATAGACTCAGAGAAGGAAGAGGAAGACAGTTGAAGGAGACAGATGCATCTACAAGTCCAGGTACACCATGGATTGCTGGCAACTACTAGAATCTGCAATAGACAAGGAAGGACCTCCCTCTAGAGCCATGCCTTCAATTGGACATGTAGTCTCCTGAATGGTAAGAAAATGCATCTCTGTTCTTTAAAGCCACTTACTTGTGGTATTTGTGTTATAGCAGCACTAGGTCACGAAGACAAACGCTATATCCATTCAGTGCCAAGCATGGTCCCTGGCACAGAGTAGAGGCCCAATGAATGGCAGCCGTCCTCATTAGGACTTTGGGCTCTTAGTAAACAGTTATGTAAACTTGGGCACAGCTCCTACTTTCTCGGCCCCATTTTTTTTCTCTGTAACATGTGGATAACAGTCCTTGCCTCCCAGGCTTGTTTGGAAAATCAAGGTGCCTCTGTGGGCCAGTCACTGCCTCATGCAGTGAGGATTCGGCAGTGACCCAGAGAGACATATTCGCTGCCCTTGAAGTTGCTCATAATTTAACTTTTCAACTCAATCGAACTACAGTAAATTGCTCGTATTTCTACAGTGAAACACACAAACATATACTTGTATACACAGGAATCCTTGGATGGTACAAACAGCTAAGCTCTGGGCCACTAGCTGAAAGGTTAGTGGTTCAAACTCACCCAGAGGTGCCTTGGAAGAAGGCCTGGCAATCTACTTCCAAAAGGTCACAGCCATGAAAACCCTATGGAGAACAGCTCTACTCTACATGGGTTCACCATGGGTCAGAATCGACTCAATGGCCACTGGCTCTATAATGTATAGTGAAACCAAACCAAACTCATTGCCATTGAGTTGATTCCAATTCATGGTGACCCCATGTGTTACAGATTAGAACTGAGCTCCATAGGATTTTCCTGGCTGTAATCTTTACAGAAGCAGATTGCCTTGGCACCAGTGGGTGATTTGAACTGCCAACCTTTCGGTTAGTAAACAAGTGCAAACCATTTGCGTCACCCAGGGACCTTCTTATATGTATACAGACAGACGCACACACACACAAACACATATATCTATATATGTTAAATATGTATGTGTATAGATACATAGATTTGGATTTGAATTTAGATTGAGGTGAATTTTGAAAACTGACTTCTTAAAAATGTGTTGATAGTTCCCCTCTTTCTTGCAAAATGTTTACTTATTTATTTAGAATAAAATAAACATGCATATGGGAAGAAGAGTGTATGGCGAAAATTCTCTCTCTCACAACAGATCCCCAGATACCAAGTCCCCTACCCCAGAGTAAACCAGTGGTACCAGTTTCTTATGTCTCCTTCCAGAAATATAGGCTGTATGTACGTGTGTGGGTGTGTGCTTTGCATCTTAATTTTTTCACTTAACAATACATCCTGGAGCTTGTTCCTTAAATGGCTGAATGATACTCCATTGTATATATTAGGTTTTGTCCAATATTTTTCTACCACAAATAATTCTACCTTGAAAAAATACACTGCTTTAAAGTGTAACCATGATGTGACCCCCAACTCTCCACTCCAGCAGGATTCCCCTACCCACACCTGATTTCTCTTGAGTCCATCTTCCCATTTGTGACCCAGACAGCTGAGTGGCCCATCCAAGACCAGATGGGCCAGAGGCTCGTGGAGACCGGAATCCAGATTTCTCATTTCCCAGCCTAACGCTGGCCAAGGGGCTAATAGCTTTTGGCAGACACAATACACACATGCGCGTGTGCACACACACACACACACACACACACATATATATATACATTTTTTTTTGATGTGAGAATCTACATTTGACTTCCCAAAAGGATCTGAGGTGGCTGCCATTGAGGTATCAAGACTTGTGTTTGCTTTTACCACATTCTCTCCTACTCAGAGGGAGGCCAGATGGTCTGACCCATCACAGCTAAGCCAGAACTGAGTCAAACTGCAGCTCAGGGTCAAGGCTGACACAGGAGCCAAGGGCCAAGGGCCAAGCCAGAACCTATCACATTAGCCGTCAGGCCATGTGCCATGTTGCCAACAGAGCCAAGCCTAAGCTACAGGTCAGAGGGCCAGGCCAAGTAGGGGCTGTCCAATACACCCCCCCCCCCCGGGGAGTAAATATAAATTGTTGTAAGCGCAATGATGGAAACACACAAGGTGGTGTGATTGAGAATAACCTGGGGGGATACAAATGTGGAATAGGGGAAGGTGAGGAAAAAAACCTTTTGGTCTTAGACCAGAATTAGAGGTAACATGAATTTATTATATATTTACATATTCTAGCTTTGTTGGCTAAAAGGTCTAAAAACAGTGACACTCCCGGTAATACTGAGCTTAACTAGTGCTCAGATCTTGGTTTCTAAATACCCTTCTCCATGAAAGGAACCAGAGTTCCT